AAAGAAAACCAAAATCGACAGAAAGTGTATGAAGATAGGCACGTGGAATGTTAAGTCAATATACCAAGCAGGTAAATCCATAATGTTATTTAGGAAATGGAAAGACTTGACATAAAAATAATATGACTAAGTGAGATCAGATGGTTCTTATCAGATTCAGGTGACATATCAGTAGGCCAAACAAAGATATACTATTCTGGTAATGGCAATGACGCAAATCACTGGAACTGAGTAGCGATATTAGTTGACAAAACTACCCAAAAATTTGTACCTGGATTCTTACCCATCTCGGATAGAGTTATGATGGTAACACTTACAACAGCTCAATCTGGAATCAATATAATTCATGTTCAAATATATGCTCCCATAGCAGAAAAGTCGGATGAAGAGCTCGAACAGTTTTATAATTAATTATAACAAGCTTTAGAAGTAACCAAGTCTAGAGACGTTACAATAGTTATGGGAGATCTAAGTAAAATCGGTAGAGGAAGTCAAGATGATTTTATTGGAAACTTTGGACTGGGCACCCGTAACGAGAGAGGAGACAGATTGGCTCAATTCTGCCAAGAGACCGAGTTTATTGTCGGGAATACTTATTATGATCTGCCGCCCAGATGACATAGTGACAGATGCAAAGAGATTAAACAGTTGGTAGAGAAACATGATAACTTAATCGTTCATAAAAAATTTAGTAAAATACCAGGCACTAATATTAAGAAAAAATCAAATATACTGCTGTATAAAAACGGCAAAATAATTATAGACGTCGGTGAAAGGCTTAAAATATGGCAGGAATATATTCAAGAGCTATTTAAAGACGAACGGACTAAGATAGTACTAGAGCAACAAAAGTTCGACAACGCCTCAGACATAACAGAAGATGAGGTATTAGGTATTAGATGCGACAAAGGGAACAAAGAATAACAAGGCAACAGGTCCTGACTAAATACCTAGACATTATACGGTTAATAGAAGAACAGCAAATTCGAATATTGGTCGACTTATTCAATACAATATACATTACAGGAATCATTCCCAGAGATTGGCTGATATCAACATTCATAACACTACCAAAAAAACCAAATGCAAAAGAATGCCAAGACCATCGGATAATAAGTTTAGTAAGTCATACGCTCAAAATATTTTTAAAAATTATTCACCGAAGAACACACAACAAACTTGAGCAGGACATAAGTGACACACAATTTGGATTTAGAAATGCACTGGAAACGAGGGAAGCCCTGTTCGCTGTGAATGTACTTGTGCGAAGGTGCATTGATGTTAATCAACCAGTATATATGTGTTTTTTGGATTACAACAAAGCCTTCGATGAGGTCAGACGTAACCGTCTTATTGAATTACTTGAAAATAAAAACTTAGGTATGAGAGACATCAGGATCATTAGCGCTATCTATTATAATCAGATCGCTGTGGTAAAAGAGACCAATTTCTTTTCAAATGAAATACAGATTAAGAGGGGCGTCAGGCAAGGCTCAGTCCTGTCTCCTACTTTGTTCAATTTGTATTCAGAGGAAATAATCCAGGAAGCACTGGAAGAACTAACTATGGGAATAAAAGTAAATGGCCGACCAATCAATAATATACGGTTTGCCGACGATACTATTTTATTAGCGGAATGTCTTGAGGATTTACAACAAATGGTTGACAGAGTGGTAGAAGTCAGTGAAGTAAACGGACTGTCCCTAAACACAAAAAAGACACAATTTATAATAATTACGAAAGCCCAACAGCGCCCGAAAACATAACCATACATGGAGAACAAATTAAAAAAGTTGAAAAATATAAATATCTGGGTACAATAATTAACGAAAATAATGAGTACATAGAAGAGATCAAGGCAAGAATAGGATAATTTCTTTAAGGATAAAACTTCTGAGATGCTACGTGTTTTCCATATTATTTTATGGGTAAGAGGCTTGGAAATTAAAGAAAGATGTTTCAGACAGATTAGAAGCCTTCGAGTTATGAGCCTACAGAAGGATATTAAGAATAAGTTGGGTGTATAGAGTCACGAATGTTGACGTTGACGGAAAAACTGCAATATCTGGGACATGTCATGAGAATGGAATTAAAGTAAGAAAACTGCAATATCTGGGACATGTCATGAGGGGCGAGCGGTATAACTTGTTGCAATTAATAATGCAAGGAAGAATACAGGGTAGAAGGAGTCGCGGAAACAATTTTAGAGCTTGGTTTAACTTCACTTCTGCTGACCTCTTTAGAGCAGCGGTATCGAAAGTGCGAATTGCCATGATGGTTGCCAACCTTCTTAGAGAAGATGGCACATGAAGAAGAAGATGGACAAGAAAATGGAAAACCAGTTACTAAAATGGTGTGAAGAGATAGACAGCAATGTAGAACCACTAGATTCTGATAAGGACTTAAGTGATGTTGTTTCTGAACACAGTATTCAAATTACAGATTCTGAGCAATCCACACAAGATCTACCCAGTGATCCTGAAGATATCATGGAAAAAAGCGGCAACGATGATGGTTATCCAAGATTTTATGGCAAAGATAAAACACCATGATTGAAACATAATAAACACACTCCTAAAGATAAAACCAAAGCTTGTAATATTGTTACCAACTTACCTGGGGTAAAAGCAAAAGGCGCCAAAACCATATTAGAATGCTAGAAATTGTGTTTCTCGGATGCTATGATCAATAATATTGTAAAATATATAATGTCCTGATGTTCCTGTCGTACTACGAGAAAATGCAAGCATTTATTGGACGTTTGTTCCTTGCTGGGGCGAAGAGAGCGCAACATTTAAATGCTGATGAACTCTGGAAATTAGAAGGCACAGCTCGAGATATTTTTGCAGCTACTATGTCTGAGAGAAGATTCCACCAAACAATTCAAGCTGTAAGATTTGACGACAGCACTAAGAGGCAAGAAAATTCGCAAGAAAAATTGGATCTCTTCTTTATTGTACTTCAGATTATTTTGCTGCTGTGTATCATGACCATTCTCTATAAAGTCTCTTCCCATTTTTTCTTTCTTGCCCTACTGAGAACTAGAGCAATGTTGAGCAGCATTCTATGGCCATTTCAATATAAGAATTATTTTCAAAGAGGCTTTTTGTATTCAGTCATAAGGGCTTCTATTTCACGTGTCACTCTAGGGATTTACTGTTGCCTCCAACCTCTGGGAATGTAATTTCTAGATGTCTTCTTAAATATCTGTGCGAATTCTTCGTAGGCCTTCGCGGTTGGGTCGACTGTGATGACTTTGTTATCTTCTTTGTTGTTTGATTTCCACAGGTGATCTAGACAAGGAATCAAATACCTCCTTAATATAATTTGACTGGATATTGCCGGACACAAAACATAAATCTGGATTATAACCCCTTTTTCAAGTCCTACTATTTAGGGAGAACGGTATATTTGGGTCATGTATAAGGACAAGGTTGTGTTGTTATGATCATAACGTGAGTATTTCGCGATTACAATTTATATTGTTATATCCCATCGGACATAGTAGCTGTTAAAGTCGGCCAGAACACCATAATTTTCTGTTCGGATTTGGGGCGCCAAAGTAGATCAATAATATAACTAATCCCAGTAAAAAATTTGGAGTTTGGTTTATATGGAGTATATTTTTTATTTGTTATACTGTTGAATTTGTCGAAATACCTTACTCCAACTAATTAACTAAATTTCCTTTTTAAATTCAAAATTATACCACAAAGACACTTATTATTAGACTTTGAGGGTATACAAGGCAACTATCGAACACGGTGATTAATTTAATCTTGCCCAAGTACTTTCGATCAATAGATCATCTTCAGGGGCATCTGAAATAAGCCAAGAAACGTTTTTCATAAACAGGAAAATTACTTCAGTTGGATAAAAAACTCCAAGTTTATGGTTGAAAAAAATTTTTATATGTGATAAACGTTTATAGACTTACTTCGTCAATTGTGGACTATCCGACATACTAGAATGTCATAAATGTAAAAACTGGACATAACAATACAAAATACACTACACTAAGACAAACAAACACTTTAAAATTTATATGGCGAAGCTACATATTGTGAAGAAGCCGGAGACAGAATGGGCTCCCGGTCTGACGTGTAATTTAGTGTCTGTTGATTGAGTCTTGACGTGTCTGTCTGTTTTAGTAATTTAACTGCATATTCAGATTTTTCTTTTTTACAGTACTGATAGCGCTTGGTGGACCATTTTATTGTAGTCAACCATCCACTGTCTAATATATTGTTAGTCTTTTCTCACATTCATACTTTATGTCAACTTCAATTGCTCTCAAACCAACATCCTAATTATTATAGACAGGTTTGAGTGTGAGATTGGAATTATTCAATCCACATAAAAAATATACTATATAACTTTATATTTCATCAGTCGATTTCCTATAGTGGTGTCAGTTGGACCTTTGGTCAATACTTAGTGTCATTGAATTTTGAAAGGTGCAGATCACATAACTGCCCTTCATAAGCTGTCATTTGTCACAGGTCATCTCTACATTTCCGTCAGACCGGGAGCCCATTCTGTCTCCGGCTTCTTCACAATATGTAGCTTCGCCATATAAATTTTAAAGTGTTTGTTTGTCTTAGTGTAGTGTATTTTGTATTGTTATGTTCAGTTTTTACATTTATGACATTCTAGTATGTCGGATAGTCCACAATTGACGAAGTAAGTCTATAAACGTTTATCACATATAAAAATTTTTTTCAACCATAAACTTGGAGTTTTTTATCCAAGTGAAGTAATTTTCCTGTTTATAAAAAACGTTTCTTGGCTTATTTCAGATGCCCCTGAAGATGATCTATTGATCGAAAGTACTTGGGCAAGATTAAATTAATCACCGTGTTCGATAGTTGCCTTGTATACCCTCAAAGTTTAATTATTCGAACATTCAACCTTATATTGACTTATTATTAGGTTGTATCCTTTAACAAATCTAAAAAATCTGTTTGGTTAACTTACCTTGCTTAATTCGAATAAAGTACCAAAATCTCCCAATTTAAAGCATTTCTTGTGTATCATAATGTTATGAGATTTCACGTCGTAATGAACTAAGCGTCTCTTATGGAGGTACTGTAATGCGTTGCACATATCATATAAGCAGTCCCATATTAAATTTTCTTGTACAATATTTTTGTCTGCATAATCTGCAAGACTCATTTGACATGCTTCTAAAACCATGTATGCCTCGTTGCCCTCTTCCCAAGACATATAATATTTAACAATATTGTCGTGGTATCCTACTTTTTCGTTATTTCTAATCTCAGAATATATTTCTTTACTGGTTGTGATTCTTTTAAATTTTTTTATAGCGTATTTTCTATTAGTATATTTATTTATTACTTTGAACACCTTGCCAAAACCTCCTTCCCCTACGCTTTTAATCTCTGTATAAATTTGTTGGTAATATGATTCGTTTAAAGATGAATTGTAATGTAAATCCAGATTAACTAAAATAAAAAAATATTCTCTATTTATACACTGAAACTAAATATCATTGTAAATTCAGAATAAAAGTGTAAATAATTATATTAACCGAAGAAATCTCCGAAGTTCAAAACACTTAATTACTTTTAATTGTAAAGAAGAGGGTTTTCACCTAAACAAAATATGGCTGTCAACACTACTTTACCGAAAATTCCATTACCGACTGAGACCAAAGATACACGAGGAAAATTCCAGAAAAAGATAACTAGTAACCGGTGGTGGCCGCAGTGAGAGTTTTAAGCAATAATGAATAAAACATTAGTAAATTAAAGTGGCCAAAACAAAGAGATTACTGGAAAAATCTACTAGGGAAATACAGCAGCAAAAATGCCAGGTGTGAGGTCCAGAGCCTATTAGGAAATAGATAAAAAGTGAAAACTCACCGATGGATAGGAAAACAACCAAACGGATTAAACTAAGAACGAATAAAGAAAGAGGGCTTCTAAATCGTCATAAATAAAACGAATCTCTGTAGCCAACAGAAATCAAACCCAAAAAAATATAAATTAATAGAGGACTATCTACGATAAAATTGAAATTGGTAAACCTTCTTCTTTCTCTTCTTCTTCTTCTTCAGCTTGTTTCCATCACGCATTCGCCATTTCCATCCTACACAACACTCTTTTTAGCCACCTGTGCTCTGGAATGTTTTGTACATGCCCTTACCACTGCAGGGCCCTGTTTTCCAACTGATTTGTAGTTTAGTATTTTACTTGCATTCTGTTCTGTATTTCATCTGTTCTTATTATATCCTCTCTGATGATTTTCAGACATCTTCTCATAAAGTCCAATTTAACTCTTCTTATTTTATTTCATATTGTTGTTTTCATAATTGTCTGTTTGATATTTTTACTTCTTTTATTACTTCTGATGTTATTTATTTTTTTCCATGCTTCCACCGATCTGTTATACCCTATCGTGTTGTCTGTGTCTTTGTGCATTTTCTCTCTTTTTCTCGAGCCATATTCGTTGCTTCATTTTTTGTCTGAGGGTAACATATTATTTATGGAGTTTATTTATGGAGTATTTATGGTAACGTAATGGAGTGGGTATAATGTTAAAAAAGTCTCTATCTCGTCATGTCCTGAACTTCCTACCTTTGTCCGATCGTGTTATGATGTTACAAATAAATACAAACATCACAAAAATGAATATAATACAAGTATACGCACCAACAGCGGACAAAGAAGAACATGAAATAGAAACATTTTATGAACAAATTGACTCGGCATTGAAACTGACCAAAAAAAGGGACATCACAATAATAATGGGAGATTTGAATGCTAAAGTTGGGAAAGGAAGGACAGATGATTTGGTAGGAAATTTTGGATTAGGGAATAGGAACGAGTCTGGTGAAAGACTGGTACAATTTTGCCAGGAAAACAGAATGGTAATTACAAATACCTTTTTCGAACTACCCAACAGACGTTTATACACATGGAGATCTCCACAAGACACAGAACATCACATAGTGAGAAACCAAATAGACTATCTACTAATCAATGAAAGATACAGAAACAGCATAATGTCAATTAAGACATACCCTGGTGCAGATATATCATCTAATCATAATCCACTAGTTGCAAGAATGAAAATAAAACTAAAGAAAATTAATAGCACAACCCCAAAAAAGCAGTTGATATCAACAAATTACGAAAACCAGAAGTAAGAGAACAGATGATACAAGAAATTGATGAAGCAGTAACAAAGATACAACCCATAAAAGACAACACAAAAGTTAACATCAATGAGAATTGGACAGACATTAAAACAGCGTTAATGAAACCAAGCATAAGTCACCTCCATAAAAGTAAAGAATATAAAAAAGAATGGATGACAGATGAGATACTGAACTTAATGGATGAAAGAAGAAAACAGAAAAACAAAAAGAACCAGAAGTATAAAGAGATACAAAAAGAAATTCGTCTAAAAATACGCACAGCTAAAGAAAACTGGTACGGGGAAAAATGCGAAGAAATCGAACAACTACAAAATAAACACGACAGCTTTAATGCACATCGGAAGATCAAAGAGTTGACGAGGAGACAAAGTAACAGACACAACATATTAGTAGACGAGAGTGGAAAAATTATTACGGGCACAGAAAAAAAATTAAGAGTCTGGAAACAGTACATAGAACAACTGTTTAAAGATCAAAGAGACAATGTAGATAACGAATACATTAACAGTGACACAGGACCAGAAATAACAAGTGATGAAGTGGAATACACGATTAAAGAAATGAGGTCGGAGAAGGCTACAGGCCCAGATGAACTACCAATAGACATAATTAAACTCATCAAAGGCAACAACTTAATAAAGATCGTGGAACTATTTAACAGCATTTACAAATCTGGTATCATACCTAATGAATGGCTAGTAACAACAATAATAGCCATACCCAAAAAGTCTAATGCGAGACAATGCTCGGAACATCGCACCATCAGTCTCATGTGTCATATATTAAAGGTCTTCTTAAAAATCATTCATCGGAGAATATATAAAAAATTGGAAGTTGACATCGGACCCTCTCAATTTGGCTTTAGAGACGGACTAGGAACTAGAGAGGCACTGTTTGCTTTTAATGTTCTAACACAACGATGTTTAGACGTAAATCAGGACATATTTGTGTGTTTCCTAGACTATAACAAAGCATTTGATACAGTAAAACATAGGCCACTGATGCAAATACTGGAAAATAAAAATATTGATACAAGGGACATGCGAGTGATAAGGAATCTATACTACAAACAAGAAGCTACAGTACGAATTAACAGCTCGATATCAGATAGAATACAGATCAAAAGAGGTGTTCGGCAGGGCTGTGTGTTGTCTCCAACCTTGTTCAATGTCTACGCGGAAGAAGTTATTAAAAAAGCTCTTATGAACGAAAAAGCCGGAGTAAAGATCAACGGTCACCCCATTTGCAATATCCGATATGCTGATGATACCGCGCTCATAGCAGAAAATATTGACGACCTACAGAGATTACTAAACAAAGTGGTAGAAGCAAGTGAAGAATTTGGTCTGTCACTGAATACAAAGAAGACCAAATTCATGATAATTACAAAGAAACGTATCAATAATATCAACTTACATGTAGGACAGAATCTCATTGAACGAGTACAAAATTACAATTACCTCGGAACAAATATTAACGAGTCAAACGAATACACCAGAGAAATAAGAATAAGAATAGAGAAAGCCCGCAGTGCCTTTAACAATATGAAACAAATGTTGTGTAGCCGAAACCTAAGCCTAAAGCTGAAAATACGAATGCTTAAATGTTATGTTTCTCGTCCTGTTATATGGGGTGGAGGCGTGGACACTAAATAAGCAATGTATGGGTAAGCTGGAGGTATTTAAGATGTGGGCGTACCGTTAGAATGTTAAAAATCTCCTGGAAGGATAAGATAACTAACCAAGTTGTATTAGACAGGATGAACAAACAAAAGGAGGTCGTATTGAGTGTTAAAATGAGGAAACTACAATACCTGGGACATATTACACGTGGGAATAAATATCAACTGTTACAACTAATTATGCAAGGAAAGATTGAAGGTAGGCGCAGCATAGGTAGGAGAAGAATGTCATGGTTGAGAAACCTCAGGGAGTGGTTTGCTTGCACTTCCATACAATTGTTCCGAGCGGCAGCCTCCAGGGTCAAAATTGCCATGATGATAGCCAACCTTCGTAGCGGAGATGGCACGTGAAGAAGAAGAAACATATTATTCTCGTATTGCTGGGGTTCTGTGGTTTAGCCTTTATTACATGTATCTTTTTTTCTTTTAATCATCTCTTCTAGGTCATCCCTGTATATCTCCAAATATTTATCCTTGTGTTGTTCAATATACAGCACGTCGTTTGCCGCTTTGTTTATTTTTTCCGTTGGGTGTTGATACCTTTCTGTTGGAGTTCATTCTTTGTAGCGTCTGTGGCCTATTCTGGTATCTTTCTTAACGTACCTTCTCCATTACTGAAGGTTGGCTATAACTACAGCAAATTGCTCTCTATCTTGAGCTGTTCTTAGTATCGAATGTGTGTCCATGCCTGTCCAGTCTCTTACATTCTTCAACCAGGAGCATTTTCTTCTTCCTGGACCTCTTCTTCCTTCCAATTTCCCTTCCATTATAAGTCATAGGAAGTTGTATTTTTCTTCTCTGTAAATATGTCCTAGATAACTCATTTTTCTGTTTTTTACAATATTTAGGAGTTCTCTCTCAGTACTCATTCTTCTTAGCACCTCGTTGTTGGTCACGTGCTCTGTCCGATCTTCAGCATCCTTCGAAAAACCCACATCTCAAAGGCTTCTATACGCCTCATACTTGTAATTCCGAGAGTCCAAGTTTCCACTCCGTATAGCAATATGGAATATATAAACGTTTTTACAAATTGGTATCGGAAATCTAACGTTAACGTAGAGTTTCTTAGAAATGTTTTCATTTGTTTAAATGCGGACCTAGCATATTCTATACGAGCACGTATTTCGACCTCCTGGCCAAGATCGTTTGTTATCCAGCAACCAAGATACTGGATCTTTGTACTGGTTCTATGTGTTTGTTATAGATACGAATATTTATGTCGACATTTGGGGCACGTGTAACTGCCATTACTTTTGTTTTATTTGTGTTTATATTTAGTCCCAAGCTATCTCCCTCTCTGGTTATGACATTCAAAACTCGTTGTAAACCCACAGCACTGTCCGCAATAATGACGGTGTCGTCTGCGTATCTTAGTTGTTTACGTATTCTCCGTTGATTTTTATTCCTTCTTCAATATTCTGGTATAGTGATCGAATACTTAATTATTGTAGACTATGTATTGTAGAATATTGTAGAATAGAATAGAATAGAATAGAAATATGCTTTATTGTCACTGAAAATTATTGAACAATTTTATGGACAAAGCTAAAAAATAAATCAGTCAAATAATACAAAAAGTATAAAACAAAAACAATATAGTA